AAGAATCTGGTTTGATCCATATCGAAAGAATTTCCAGTTCATATTGTTAGTTGGAAAAGAGTAAAAGTAAACAAATTTGAAATTAATGCCGCCTATTTTCAATCTTCAAAAACTGTAATATCAGAAGAAAGTTTATAATCGTAATATTTGACAAAGTTTTTAGTAGATATTTATACAGAAAAAGCTATTTATTGCATATTTGCTTGAGAAAATCCTTCATTTTCAATAATTTCATAGCAGCAGATATCACTCCCTATTGTAAAAACAATACTAGAAATAATAAATCCGAATTAATTTACTTGAAAAATAAGGATTATTTTTTTAAGACCCTACAGAGGAAAAACAAAAAGTAGAACATCATCTGAAAAAACGGATAAGTACAGATCTTCAGAAATTTGCCGCAAACATATTTTACATACATCTTTGATGATGAACAAAATTTACTGGCTTTATAAAGTTGCTTCGAGTAACATGTCATTTGCTCCATGCTGTTTGCTTCTGGCAATGTTCGATAAAACATTTCTTGTACAGAAACAAAAGATTTCTCATAGAATGTTAATTTTTTTAAGAAATGCCAAAATAAACAAAGAATCCCAATATAATCCCTCCGGAATATGTGCCGACGACCTTTTTTCCGATTCCAAACTTGCTCGATTTTCTGAAGTAGACCATGCTCTATAGCACAGTTTCTATTTGGTAAATTTATTAAATGCAGTAAAAATATCTTAGCAAAATGGACTTTAAAGGGATTTATATTCATGATCTCAAAATTACTAAATAAAGTGTGGAAGTATAAATTCACAGTAGTCGTCGGAAGAGGACGGAGCAAGTTGCTATCGCTCGCAATTTGTAGAGGTGGGTGGTATTTTTGAAGATCGGCCGTCCTAAAATCTTTAATACCAAGAAATCTGATCGCATCGCATTCTTCTCCTCCTCTTTCCATTTCTTCTGTGGTAGTTCTTCCATTCGCTTTCTAATCGGCCAACACCGATTTAAAAACATCAATTGTACTGAAGTTACAATACGTCGCAGTGAACAGTTTAAATCTCCTCAATTCAGGGATGACAAAATTTTCAAATATCAGCACAATTCATCTGATAAACGCTTTTAAGTGGATTGAAATAAACTTTCATCCAGTTAAAGCTCCACAGGTAGCACAATATTTTCTAGAATCACAAATGTGAAGATATTTCAGTTCTAAAACAGAAGAAAAAGCTAATGCACTTGAATTCCAATAAATTATCGATTTAGTCATTCAACTGTTGTATTAAATTTATATAGAGCACCGTTCGGATTTTTTCGATATATACTGCAGTTTCGATTTATTGCTTTTTGAATCATGAAATGACATTCTCAGAAGCCGGATACTTAATGGTCAGATGTTTGCTCTTTTGGAAATGTCAAAAACAAAGATCTAAACTATTATAGTTTATGCAAAGTGCTCAGCATTACATTCGGCATCATATTTTAGCGAAAACATGAAATCCAATGTTTTGAATAACAGTCGAAGCTGCGAATTCCAGATAAATGTCCACGCAGTAAGCATAAAGTGCCGAATCTCGACATAAGTCAAAAGGAATATCAAGCATGAAAATTATTTTTCATGGATCTGATCTTTGCCATAACAGTGATGGGATCAATAGATTTTGTCACATTTCTTAGTTCATCACTTATACTGAAATAAAATTAGTCCATAAGATATCAAATTCTTTGGCAACGCAATGCAGCGCCAATTACCATAACAATTTCAATAACCTTAATGATTTTTCAATACTGTTATGGTAATACGCATTTCACAAACACTCACCGAACACGCATAAAGGGATTGAAACGTTTCTCTTCCTCAATTGTAGAAGGTACCGTGTAGTTACCAGTCTTCCGTCGTTCTTCCGCCCAAGCTAACTTTTTCGTAATTTCATCATTTTTTGGTTCAACTGAATGAGCGAATTTTAAATTGTCAACGGTGTATTCATGCCCACAATATATCTTCTAAAATACACCAATTGGAATAGAATAAAATCCAGCGTCTGATGCTGAAAATTTTCAAAGATTGGATTATTTTTGAAAATGTAGTTTCAGGATGAAATGAAATACCGTATCATTCGGCAGATTGCCCAGCTTTTCATTCAAAGCAGAATCCATATCTGTAGCATTACCTTCAAAAAAACGTCCGCATCCTGTAATGATAAAAGGGGAAACAATAAAAGGTAATAGTAAGAATTCGAAAGAATAATGGATGATAAAACGAAATAATGCGCTGTGACTGATTCCTGAAAATTCCTGCTTAAGCTCTTATAAGGTGATCAAATGACCAGAAGGGAGAAACAAAACACAAGAAACTGAAAATTACCCTCCCTTCATAAAGTGCTTTCGACGCTTTTAGCTTAAAACTGATTTCATTCTTTTTTGTGAAGATATCACATTGTATAACCATTCACACTAATGATCATTCTCGGTTAAAAAATTTGTAATATACTTCTATAACAATTAAAGAACAAAATTTCTTGTTACCTCCTATAAACAATGTATCGCCAGTAAAAACTACTTTGTCACCATTACCATCAGTGACATAATAACAGATGGAGCCCGTTGTATGACAAGGCGTATGTAAGCACTTCACATCAAGTTCACCAATCTGTGGCGAAGGTAGTCATACATTATGATGAATGATTTGGTTCAAATACTCGTGATTAATTCTAACTTATTGATAACGGTTCCAGCTCTCTCGGGACAAAATGGTACGTCTTATTATCGACAGTTCAAATATGAATAACCAAGGTAGAAAAAGTGAAAGCTGTCGAATTCCACCTTAGAATCAGATGCATTCATCTGCGACGAACTTTCATATGTAATGCTATAAAATAGATAACATACCTTGAAAACATCACCATCTTTCACTTTATTAGTAATACCTATAATACGATCATCACCTCCATAAATCAACAATTCATGACACTCATCAGAAAGTTCTTTTGTTGCACCAGCATGATCCCTGAAGGTAAACTACTACATTTCGCTTATGATAAATAAATGAAGTTGGTTTATAACACGCAAAATTATACCAATGATGATGAGTAACCAAGGAAGAAGTAAGCTTCACACCAGCTTCTTTGACGGCTTTATTTATCTGCAAGTACTTTCTACTTCAGTATCAGTTCCACTCACAATTATATATTTCGGTACATAAAAAACATTTCCTATCTTTGAACTTAGTTTCTAGTTAAATCAAATGGAAATTCATTCATTAAAGGCTGATAATGTCAGCTTCATCTCTGCAAACTCACGCCTTTCAAATTAACTGGATCGACAATAGCAGCATTATTAGTCTTCTCATCAATCAAAAGATACATATAATTATCACTCAACGCTGGGATAGGTATGACTTTCATTTTCCGGTTTACAACAGTTGTCGAAATTTTCCGAGTGACAGCCAGCAATAATGCGAAGTACATATAATGTCCTCTGTGTACCACAGAGTTTCGCCTAAAAAATGTGCCAGATGCCTGATAGCAAATAAACAGCAAATTAGTGAACTCGAAAAACTACAACACAATAACCAATTCCAAGCACACCGAACCTGCAAGATTTTAAACATAAAGAGGATGATATGACGTAAAACATAAATCTTCGAGCGGTCACAACAGTTTGATTAATTCTATTCAAAAAATATTACAAAACCGATTCATTAAAGACAGCTATCAAATTTAATTATACAAATGCGATTGAAAAATTTCAAATGAGAACAAAATTATAAGATATAGTGACATAATTAACTTAATTCTGATCCCTTGCAATGAACAATAAATGATTCTGCAAACAGTATATTATAAAAACGAAAGAAACACATATGCAATATTAACACATTGCGGAATACCTACAGTTATCATTCACATCTGCATTCCTCAAGAAACAAAAGTGAAGCTGACCAGTGGAAAATTAACACCCGTAAATTAGCTCATAAAAAACTTGTTTTTGTATACCACTCACAAAAACTTATTAAATCGAAATCCGAACCAACAAACACCATAAAGTATCACAATAAATGTGAACGCTCGTATCAGGCTTACTAGGCCAATACGGAAGATTTGAAATGAACCAAACATATAAGTTATAATTTGTGGTGCCACAAAACATTCAAAAAATGGAGGAAATGCTTAGAACTGAATGAAAATCAAGCAAATGACAAACTTCGACAAGGCATCATGCTAAACTTCAAGGACCTTTTCAGTATTGCAACAGATTCCCTTTAAGTCCATGGCATTGCTAAAGATTAAGCACTCTATATTAAAAATTTTGGTTATACCATCACAACTTTTATCCTATTTTAGATACAAATCTGTATACGGATTGTTCTCAGAACTAGCACAGTAATGCGTGGGCGTGGCTGAAGATAGCCACCGTTCCAAGCAAATAGACAATCACGGACTAGCAACTCTAGTCTTGAGCCATAAAATTTTCCTCCAAATTTTCACCAAATCCAGTAAGTACATTATTAGGGTCGGAATCTGGATCAGCAGGTAATAAATGATCTGCAGATGAAGAGCGTAACATCCTTTCAATGACTGGTTCACCATCTTCAGAGACCTGGAATAGTAAAAAGCCCAAAATATTCTTTAAAAAAACAGGTTTCATGATCTCAAAAGCACCAAGATATACTTCAAAAAAATTTAAAGCATACTTACCCCCTCGTTTCCTGCTTCATTCCGCACTGATTCGTTTGAAGCTGGAACGGTAGGAGATTGCTGGGGTGTTTTTTGCCCGTTGGAGTTCTGATTAGCACGCACCCGTTCTTCATGAGATTCAGTAATCACCGAATCTATTATTGATATGACACTGTTCTTCGCTATTTCCACCATCGATGACACTTCATTTACTTGCTGAAAAGCACAATTGGGATTCCAATAATACATTTGAAGTAGACGATAAAATTTCTAAGACCAAGTAGTTTCTCAAGTTCAAAATAACTGAAGCTAAGGCCACCAAGATACTGAAACTGCCCCCTATTTTGTGACCAATCTTGAATACTTCTCCACAGCTGAAACAAACTTTCATTATCTTGGGACACCACTTTCCAGTTACGATCACTGTTTGGCTTAGAAAATCTTTACCCCCTAGAGTTTTTGTCTACTTTTCGACAAATGAATTCAAATATTATCTTTGAAAAGTTTGTGTAAAACTCGAATGTTATTTAAAGTTGTCTAGCACTAACTGATGCCTAAACTTCGTAGTACCAACTTTAATTCAGATCTCCTCAGCTTAGTATCTTTGAATATTTGAAAAAGTTTTCCTTCTCATATAAGCTTATTTTAACTATTACAAATGTCTCCACACTATCAATTTCGAATTATGACCGAAAGGAAGCATATGAAACAATTTTGCAGTATCAGCTTCTGCAATGACCAAGTCCACTTGTCTAATTTCGGCTTCTTGAAACATTGCATTTACTATTTTCAAATCGTTTGCGTCTCTCGTTTTTGAGTTCTGTATTAACTTAGAGCGCTGCATAACATTTTACCTTTCACAACAACATACTAATCCACGTCCCTCCTTATCAGTGAATTCCATATGCATAACAAAAGGTCCACTTCAGGATCCTTTGACAACCTGTCAATAAATCACTTCAGGTTGCAAAAGAGACCAAAGCAGCCCATATGCCTGCAACCTGAAGTGATTTATTGGTATTGCAATCTTTCTTGTTTACTTATTGCAATGGCCTCTAAAACAACACTTATTGGCCTAACCCACCAAGCTGTTAGAGTCACAAAGCGGATTTATGTAAGCGTCGATGGTGCAGTTGTTTTCCCATGTGTTTTATGCTACTGGTGCGGAATTCTATTATATTTCGTAGTTCCATCAATCGATTCCGTCCTTAGTCATCATTAGGGCGTATATTTCGGATTTTAGAAAGATAATTGATGTACAGTGTTAGCATGAAGTTGAAAACAGCATAAAAGTTGCTAACCTGACTAACCCTTTTAACATCCGCAGCCTTCTTCTTTTTGGAACTGCCAGATGGTTTCCCCACAGTATCGCTTGAAATTTTCTCTGTTGCTGAAGGTGTCGGATCATTATCAGGAATTTCAAGGCATGAATCCATAAACGGATCACGAAATGTGAACAGTCGCTGACAAAGTACTCTGAACAACCAATCCTTATCATCACTGGCATTTATAGATCAGTTTTTGAAGTAACAAGACAGCTTGTTATTACTACGCAAATACAAACAGGTCGCTATCACTGATAAAGGGACCACTACATAAAGTAAACCTTTTTAGGCGCTTCAAATGGTTGATTTCCTTTTTGATATGGTATAAACGATTGCGTAACCGGCTATTGGACTGAAAGTTTTTTAAGGATTTAAATGACTTGACGAATAAGAAACTGAACTCTGGAATATTTGAGTAACAGAACAAAATAAATGAAATACTTCGAAAATCTCCATCTCCCATAGAGTACACAGCAGACACTTCAAATCTTGAAAAATGAAGACAAAAACAACTGAACAAAGAATGCAGTACCATATAAATATAATCATATTTCTGCTGCAGGTGAAATTTTTTAAGGCGATAACGTTCAGAAACTGGTGACAAAGGTTCGTTCTGCAAATCAACCGGAACTGTACGCATCGATGATGAAATAGAGATTGTTTCACTACACGAAGGTCCACTATCAAATGAATCTACGCCAGTCGGAAACTGAATATTCTGCAAAAATAACGTCATAATATAAAAAAACACTTGTAACTTGAAAGATTATAGAGAATTCAATATGGTCACAATTAGATACGAAAAGCTAATTCACTGGATAATTATCCACAGAGAACAGCATAAATGCATAATACACTTACCACTCTTTTCGACCCTACATCAACCATGAATAAACTTCGATGCGAATTCTGATGATTTAATAATAGCTTGAAAATATAGGACAGATTATAAGAACAATTTTTTTTATATTTCAATTTTCAAGTTTTGCGAAGATTTCCAAAAAATATTCTTAATGACTCAGCATCGCCATGAAAAAACATGTGACGAATGTATCGGCTGATGCAATAGCTTGCTGAAGTACATTCCCACAGACTTTGTCCATCTTATTCCTGTAATAGCACATTCCAATGAAACCATATAGCTGTAGCATTACTATGGCTCTCTAAAGACCGCCTAACAACTTTTCTTGCCGTTGCAAAAAACTAAAAACAACACCTTGTGATGCATTATATGTATCCTACGGGCAAGCCAGTGGCCAGCAGCTTCCTTCTTTCCGGGCAGTTTAAATGTCCTCACTTTGTGCTGTCCTATCTCCTGCTTCCTTATCAAACCACAGATGAAAATCCATCTTTTTCGTCATGATACTCCTCCGCTCCATTTTCATGCAACACACTTTGCCATACAGTAGCAGCTCGGCCCCCCTCCCTTCAACCGCCCTCTCTCATGAACTAACGTGACCCGACAGGTACCAAATGTTAGGAAAATAGCTGTTATGCTAACTGTAGCAGCGCAATATTTGCATGAAAATATTGACGGGTGGGAAGGGTTGGAGGAGCTGTGGTATTTGGGCGTTTCGATGTTTTTAGAGGTGGGAATCAACATGTTTCTGATGTAATCAGCTTGGGAATGACATTTCCCGACATCAGTTAGGGCCGTTTAAAAGTTTTTTATGTGCGATATGCATTCCTGCTCGCACTCATTGGCTATGGTACCATTATTCTCCTCCCCTTCCCTCCTCCCCACTTCTATCCTTCAACTCCTTTCATTTTAGATTCCTTTTATTTCACAATTGATATTGTATGAGATCTCATTATTCTAGAAGTGAGTCCATCCATACATGGGACAGTACCATTAGTGATGATGTCGAAACTGCTGGTACCATGCATTTCCCCTTATATAGAAAATACCCACTCATAGTGCTACAAAAAGAGAGCTATGATTTATTCCTGGCGAAGAGCACTTCCATTCATGTCGTTATCATAGATTTCATACGATAACATTTGTAAACTTGTGGATGTTTGTAGCTGATTTGAATAAAAATAATTTGTCGCATTAAATATGTCCCTGTTGAAAACGATGATTCTTTTGGGAAAGGAATCAAAGAGAGCAAAGCGTAACTGCTCTACGGTACTCCTTTCATTTTCATCTTATATCTTTAACATTAGTTTTGTAGAAACATACTTTTTTTCTTTTTTTTCAATTATTTTTTGAATATTGTTCATTTGAGTTCTTTGAATAATTTCTCGAACTTCCTTTTTTGTAGTGACTTTGTGGAATAGTAATACACTGCATAGTTAGCTGTTCTCATACCTCACGAATTTCCTTTCCAGGGAACTCATGACTGAATTATAAAAACGAAAGATGAACAATAGAAAAACTTGCGTGGAAGATGATTTTACGATCATCGGCATAATCTATTCATTTCTAGATTTCTAACGTTAATTCTGAAATTTAAAAAATTCCAGATGACTGTCTACTATCAATGAAAATAATATGGATTAGTTTGGGACGAGTTTTTTGCTCAGATAATTTATTGCTGAAATGAGATTACTTCAATTTCAACTGTAGATCTTTGTCGGTTTCGTCAACTGTTAAATCACGAACAATGCCGAACCGTTTTACTAGTACGCAGTCTTTAACGTGTTCAGCTTTAATTTATAATTTATTAATTTGCTTGCTGATAGAAAAAATTACTTCATCCGAGAGCAGTACACTGACAGTAGTACCACTGTCTGCCAGTGGTGACATTCGTTGTGCATCGGTATCCTAAATACTTGAAACTGATCGTTCCTTATACCAAACCATCTTGTTTAATTCAACTCTCAGTTAGGTTGTCGATAATTTGTGACGCCCTGATCTCTAATTTGGCACTCCTGATCCTTCTTACCATTCAGTAGATGACAATATCCTTTACTGTAACTGCATTTAAATAAAAAAAGGCAGTATTTTCCAATTCGCTTCTTTTTCTTGCAGGTAAAAGTAAGCTGGGACGCCTCACAATGCCTGAACCTGAGAGTATACCAAATCTAGATCTTGACGATAAATGCATGGTGAAGTAAGGCTTATATACCAAATTAAATCACAATCAAAATTAAATCACAATCAATGTTTGTATTCACTATACATTTATCAAAATTTTTTTCTTTTGAATTTCTTCATAACGGCTGTTTTCAATGGCATTTAAATGTATTTTAAATTAAATAGGAGTTGCTAGAAATAAACGAGCCAGAATGTTATGTTTTCTACCGTGATCCTCAATTAGTTCGTTTATATTGGAGGACTTTAACGTCACTTTTTTCATAAGCAACAAAGCTCTTAATCTACAACAATGAAATGCCCGAATTTTGTTGACAAAAGTCTCTGTGCCGAACTGCCACAAAAGTATGTGGAAATATTGTTAAATGGCTCACTGAAGTTCATAGCAATTAGAAAAAGACTAGAAAATACGTCAAAGTTGGGTTGACCTTTGCGTTTGCAAAACACATGGTAGTAATTGAAAATAGAGCCGTAAATTTTGATGTCATATTGCTTTTGCACCAAATACTTCAGGTTTTCGGAAAATGGTGAGGAGGTTCAAGTGCGAGCTCAAGAGTTAGAGAAGATAGAGGAGCTCGGAAGGGGGGCATATGGGGTTGTTGAAAAAATGCGTCACCGTCAAACGAATACTATTATGGCTGTCAAGGTTATTTAAATAATAAAAAAAAACTTCGTGCGATAACTCCTATTTTAGAAATAAAGATGTAATCCACTACGAGGTTTTGGAGAGACAGTGGAACTTTAAAATTATTGTTTCAGCGCATCCATTCCCAAATAAATGATGAAAGTCAGAAGCGAATGCTTGTAGAATTACAAGCTTGCATGAAAAGCGATTGCTGTCCACAGGTAGTCTTTAGATTTTGAAATGGTGAATTTTTATATTTTAAGCATTAGAATAGTGTGCTTTGGTTTTCTCAAATATTCCCTAACCTTTTTATATTTTCAAATTGGACATGTATGCTTTTAAAATAATTTTTAGATGGTGCGTTTTTACGGTGCAATGTTTCGTGAAGGCGATGTATGGATTTGTATGGAAGTAATGGATACGTCATTGGATAAATTTTATCGAATGTGCTTTGATTCGGGTGGTCCTCTGCCAGAAATGTTCATAGCTAAGTGTGCTCTTTCAGTAAGTGAAGTGCTGGAAAAAATGTTATTTAACTTATTTAATAAATATTTACTTATTTCAAATAGTTTAAAGCTAGTTTTTTACCAAAGAGTAAAGTAATAAAGTATTATGCCCAGTAATAAATTGCAGTATTCCTTGCTCTAAAAAAAATATACAACAAATAAATTTCTTTAGGTCGTTGAGGGATTAAATTTTATGAAAGAGCAGATGAATCTAATACATCGAGACGTAAAGCCATCAAATATACTGCTCAATAAGCAGGGAGCAGTGAAAATTTGTGATTTTGGCATTTCAGGCCATTTGACAAATTCAGTAAGCAATAGATTTTATTGCAATATGTGTAATAGAAATTTCTTGTTTAGCATGTTCCAATAGATGAAACCAAAAGAAATTTGCATTTTTTTTGTTCAATTACCTTTAGGTTGCAAAAACAGTGAATGCCGGTTGCAAGCCTTATATGCCACCAGAAAGAATTGAAGGCGAAAAGAAGGTTGCTTACGATGTTCGAGCCGATGTGTGGAGCTTGGGTATTACACTGGTACGTGTGTCTGTTCTAGTGCTTCAAAATTACGCTGTTGATTTTGGTTTAGGTTTTAATATTATTCCTTATTTTATTTAAGTCTATTTATTAATTTTTTCATTGTGTCGTTCGCATCCAGAATTTGAATTGATTGAATTCAGGTGGAAATAGCCTCAGGATCCCATCCATATTCCAAGTGGAAAACACCATTTGAACAACTGAAGCAGGTTGTTCATGAACCAGCACCAAGATTGTCGCACAGCTTGGGATTCAGCGCTAATTTTCAAGATTTTGTTGCTCAATGGTATGCAGTATGTTTCAGATTCTAGTGTTAGATTTTTAACCGTGAAATTAAGGAAAATTTTTTTTAAGTCGATGCAGTTGTGATTCCTGCTACGTGTGTTTTTTTTTTCAGCTTAACAAAAGATTACAACAACAGACCGAAGTACCCGGATCTGCTGGCTCATAGATTCCTGGATGACGCTCGCAATGATCATAAATTTTCAATGGGAGCTTTCGTCCAAAAGATTTTAGGTGTGGTGGAACGTGAACGTGATTCCGTCCTTCAGAATTTCAGCATTAAGACACCAGTTTCAGGATCTGTTGGTCCATCAACAAATCATAATCAATAATCAGTGACTTAGAAAATGGAAATAATTTTTTTGGAAAATATATATGGTGCAGTACACCTATTGTTTCTAATAATTGATTTTAATTACTTTTTTGAGATATCTTTCAGCTGATTCTTCTTTTCTTACCTGACCACGGTAACACTAATTTTCACCAATAACAATGTGAATAAGAGCGGCCGAGGTTTGTCTATTTTGAAATTCTGCATTTAAATTTCTTTATCATCCAACTACTTTTCAGAATACGTCAATTGGGCCAAAACCGATTGTTCCATTTAACCGGAGGACCTCATTAAGCAAACAGTTTCTCTTTTTAAGACAAAATCTCTGCATTCTTTATCATATTTATTGCTTTTTTTGTAAGCATTTGTATATCTTATTTTATTGTGAAAATTTTTATGTTGATGATGCTCTATTCATTTAAACGATTCATTTAAAGCACTGATAATCGAATTCTACTTCTAGTTTCCTAAATCTACTAACCTGCTTTGGAATTTTAAGATTGAGAATATGGGGACTTAATATGAAATCGTTGGAATGGAATTTAATTATTCTTCTGTTCTGGAGGATTTA